AATGAGTGACAGGACTGAACTCCTGTCTCCACTACCCAGGCCCTCTGACATTATCCCTAACTCAGGGGCTCCTCAAAGAAGGGGCTCACATTCTGGTGAAAAAAAAATTGGCACATGTACTGCAAAGTCAGCCCCAGGCACAGAAAAGGAGTACTGAATAGGGGTAAAGAAGTTGAGTGGTGTGCAGTCCAGAGGAAGGAGAGCTTCATCTCAAGTGACTGAATCAGAGTGGGCTTTACATAGGAGGTGGCATCTGAGCTCATCACCACCACCACCTCAGGCTGGCTTCTCTCCTTGCCTAGAGGATTGGCAGCGACAGCGAATAATAATGATGGTGGTGGTTTAGCGTGCAAAGCATTTTTACACAGATCTCTTTGATATTACAGAACTCTGTGGGCTGAATGTTATTTCCATTTTCGGCAAGAGGAAAATGAAGGCACAGAGAGGTTAATCACCAGCTCCTGGTAACCCAGCAGAAAATGTTGGTTTCAGGATTCAAATCCATCCCTTCCAATTCTAGGTTCCCTGCTTCTCCCACCCTGTTCACTCTTGCTTCATCCTGGCCATCAGTTGAGGGGAGCCTTCCTATTCCGAAATATCTCTTCACCATTGTTTCACAATGTGTGTGTATGACCCGCCTGACTGTTTTTAAAAGCCGGTTATTGGGTCCCACCCTAGACATACCTAATCAGTAGAAGATGGGGCCCTGGAACCCGCATTTTAACAACTGTCCCTGTGATTCTTGTGCTCACCTAAGAGTGAACCGCCCTGGGCCCACAGTGACGCTGAACAGCGCAGTGGGCAGAGCGGGGACCCTGGAATCAGCACTGCCCTTCTTGTCTCTGTCTAGGGACCACCTCTGTTTCCCGCCTTCTAAGTGGGCGAGTCACGCGAGACTCCGAGGGCCGACGTGCCGCGGGCTGCCCGCCCCAGTAGCACAGGCACACTCCACACCTCCCTCCCTCCCCAGGCTCCTTCCCGCCTTCATCCGCTTCGCCCCTCCCCAAGTGGAAGGAAACAGCTGGGGGCTCTTTGCTTCCAGGCTGCGGTCGCCTCTAATCGACTACTGACGCGCCCTGAGGTTGGGGTCTCGGGGTCCCCATTCCGCATGCGCCGGCCCCCCGCCGGGACCCGAGGGCACGGCGCTCCCCGCCGGCTCGGGCAGCCGAGGCCGCCTCCCTCCGTCCACCCCTGCAGCAGCCCATAAATATTCCGTGGGTCCGGAGGGGGCGGAAACGGACTTTCCAGCTCCCCTTCTGGCCCTGGCCCACCTTCCCCCGCGTGAACCATGGGAGGAGAAGCCTGGACTCGAGTCTTCGCCTCTCCGGCCCGCGAAGCCTGAGGGGCGCATGTGCGACCTGGGACTGGGCAGCGGATTAGCTCCTGCGCCCCAGCTCGCCGGTGCTGCCCAAGTGCGGGACCTGCGCAGCGGAGGCAAACAGACGCACCATGGAAATCTGCAGGAGGGCTCTGCACTCGACAGGCTTCCTGGGGATATTTAAGATAAGCTCTGAAAGGTGAACGCATGCGATGGACAGAGGGAATAGAATATGCAAAGGCCAAGAGCACGGCAGTTGGGGAAATTACAGGTATATTGTATTCATGAAGTATTGAGTTAAGGTGAAATGTCACAAGGCAGGGCTGGAGAGAGTGGCAGGGACCAATCCAAGCAGGGCCTTGTAAGCAGTGCGGGGCAAGCCCTGTAGGATTCTAAGCAGGACCTGTGCTTCGGCCAGCTTATTTGCTTTCAAGAAAGACCACTCTGGGGCTTCCCTGGTGGTGCAGTGGTTGAGAGTCCGCCTGCCGATGCAGGGGACACGGGTTCGTGCCCCGGTCCGGGAAGATCCCACATGCCACGGAGCGGTTAGGCCCGTGAGCCATGGCTGCTGAACCTGCGCGTCCGGAGCCTGTGCTCCGCAACGGGAGAGGCCACAGCAGTGAGAGGCCCGCGTACTGAGGAAAAAAAAAAAAAAAGGAAAGAAAGACCACTCTGGCTTGGTGTGGGAGGTGGAATAGAGGGGTTGCAGGACATGAGTGAGGAATCTGTAGACAGAGGTCATGGTGCCTGGCCAAAGTAGCTACAGTGGGAATGGAAAAAAGGGGATGGAGAATTCTGAGTGTTATGGGTAGGACTCAGTGATAGACTGGATGAGATGATGGGTGGATGGCCCAGCCTTTCCCAAGTAGGAAGCAAGGGGGAGCAGGGTTCCTCCTCCCACAGTGTGTCCCTCCTTCTCTATCCATCCAGCTTGGATCCAAGGCCTCATTCAGTGCCTGACCCCTCCACCTCCAGGAAGCATTCCCTGCTCCTTTATGGATTTCAGAACGTCAAAACTTGTGTTTGGTTAAATGCTGTCTTGCATTGTTCTAGAATTAATTTGTGTGCATCAGCCTTCAAGGGAGCTCAGCATAGTGGTTAAGATCACATTAGAATCCTAGCAGTCCTGCTCTGTAACCTGGGAAAGTCATTTATTCTCTCTGAGCCTTGCTTTCTTCATCCATACAGTGGGGCTAATAATCCCTCCCTTGAAGGATTCTATGTGACAGGCATATGGTGTGTGCTCAGTGAGCGAGCTTTTCTTTCCACTAAAGTTGGTCAGCCTGGAAAACCAAACAAAGGTCTCTAGAGTATCTCCTGAAACTTCTTTTCTGGAGCTTTTGGGTAGAAGTGACAGAGTGGTGTAATAGAAACATTTTAAGGCTGGGATTGGAAGGCACGAGGCCCTGCTTGGACTTCCCATGTGACTTCAGGCAAGTCAGGGCCCCCTTACCCACCTTGGACAACAGGGAGTGGTTAAGATGGCACCTGGAGTCCCCGCTGCTGCCCCTCGGTCATCCAGTTTCCAGTGGAGTTCCATAGCTCCCAGAAAGCCCTGAGCACTGAGGGCTTAGTGGTGCTCATTCCCAGGCTGCCATGACCTCCCCCCAGCCTGTGGGTCTGGCTTCCCCCTACAGCCATCCTAATGGGGAAGCAAAAGCATCCCCCTCCTACAGACCTCTAGAGACCAGAGCTGGGGCTGGTCCTCCAGCAGGGTTTGGGGTCTAGTGGAATTGGGCCTGGGTTTCCTTGGGAGACCAAGGCACCTGGAACACAAGCCCAGAGCTGCAGTTCCAAGAGACAAACTAGCAAGGGCCTGGCTTGGAGCAGCTGCAGCAGGTATCAGGGCATGGGAGGTAGGCATCTTGGGAACAGCAGGATGAGACATATGTGAGCAAAGCCATGGGATTTGGGTAGGTCCCAGCTGAAGGAGCCATAGCAGTGGTGTTATCACACCCTTCTCTTTGCCCAAATGAAAATTAAGTGAGCCACCGTGGTTATGCAGCAGGCTACTGGCAGGAACAAAGTGGTAAAGCCTTCTGTGTTCAACACAGGTGAACTGAGTCACTGTAATGGGATAAGGCATGGGAAAGCATCTAGTCCAATGGCACTGAGTAGATGCTTAATAAATGCTACTTAATTGAACACCAGACCCTATGCTGGGAAGCAATGGGTCACACCCACTCTCTGTTTCATCAAGGAGCTCAGAGCCTGGGAAGACCAAAAGATGTACACAGAAACATTCCTGGCTTATGCAGAGATAAAGGGCAGCCCAGGGACTGGCAGGGGGTACCCAGAAGAAGACAGGCTTGAATCTCTGCTGTGGGGCAGGCTTGGGGCTCAGTGGTGAACTTGGGATAAAAGGCATGTTAAGGAAGGCTTCACCGAGGCGGTGACATCTGCAGTGGTCTTTGATGGCTATGCACGAGTTTTCTAAGCCAAGAAGTCAGAGAAGTATATTTTAAGCAAAGGCAAGAACATATGCAAAGCCATGGGGGAGGGGAAAATATGAAGTGTTTAGGGAGCTGGTGAGTGTTTTGCTGTTTAGGAAATGAGGCTGTAGTAGTCAGGAGGGGCGGGAATGGGAAGGGCCTTGAATGTTAGGCTGAGTGTGCACGGAACCCCAGGGCAATGGGGAGCCATGAAATGTTTCTGAGCAAGAGAACGATGTGGTCAGAATCCATTAGAGAAGGGAACATTCTGTGTTTGGTAAGACACCTGGAGAGGCCTGGGGGAAGGGGAACTGGGGCAGAGGGCCCATTAGGAACCCCTGCCTATGCTTCAGTCCCCTGGGACTTGTTTAGGTCAGAGCCAGGCTCCTGGGACTGGTGGCCTCTTCCCACATGGACAGTAGGTGGCGCTGCATCCCTGTGCATCCAGCCTCATGGGCGGTGCTACCTGCTCCTCACCTAGGGGGTGAGACCCCCTAGCCCTGCTTGGGCCCTATTTCTGCTGATGAGGCCCCGTGAAAGGGTGGGGTGGGGCTGGGCTTTACTCCCCCTCCTCCAAGAGTAAAGAGGGCCACTTGCTTTGCTTTACAGAACCACAGGACCTGTGAGCAGGGAGGGCCTCCAGGGCCCTCTGGTCCATTTCACAGGTAGGGTAACTAAGGTCCAGAGAGGGAGGGGCTTGCTGGAGCCCCTGAGTGGGTTAGTAGCTCCGGGGTTGTTCCTGTGTGCCAGCCGCGGGAAGTATTCCTGTCCCTTCCTCTTCCTGCATCTCTCACCAGTTCGCCTCCGCCTTGCCATCCCCACTGCCTCTTTTCCACTCAGTCCTCGACCATCTGCCTGGCCTGGATCACTGTCCCAGTCTCCTCACAGGTCCCTGCACGGTGGTCTCTTCCGTGCCTGCCTGTGCCCCTCCGCACCCCACGCAGCCCGCACCCATCCAAGGATTCTTCTCATACACGGATCAACCTTCACCCACCCTGTCTCGTGGGGCTTCTGAGACGTGGAGGTTTAGGTACCCCTCCTGGGCTCCCGTGGCTGTGACTGCACAGTGTGACTGGGCGCCCCTGTGCCCGGCTCCTCTGCCGGGTGACCCAGAGGGCCTCCGGGCGGGGACCCCCAGCTGGAGTTCAGTGCAGCCTCTCCGGGTGACCGAACGACCAATAGGAACGCTCTGGGAGGAGCGTTACCAGGTCAGCTCGCGCTGCGAGCCAGGCGCCATGCTAGGCGCTTTTGCACGCTCACAGCCTTTGTGTCCACACCACAAGCCGGATGGGTCAGAGGCTGCAGTTATTATCCCGGTTTTGCAGAACAGGAAACAGAAGTGCAGAAGGTCAGGCAGTGAGTAAGTGGAACAGGGCTCAGCAGGCTGCGGGCAGGGCAAGGCCTCGGGCCACAGCTGAAGGGTAGCGGGAGCCACAAGTACCCAGTGGTCTGAGTAAGGCTAGTGTGGGGCTATCAGGCGGCCACTCAGGGTGCCTGGGGTGGACGGTACTCAAAAGTGAGCTCCCTTCCTGTCTTGGCGCTTGGGGAGCCCCCTGCCGTTCTGAGTCAGGCAAGGGCCTAAGGCCTGAGTACCAGACGTGTTCACGTGGCGGCTATGAGGCAGAGATCAGTGGCCAAGGCCGGGGAAGAGGCTGACCTGGTGATCCAGGGAGGGGCAGGCAGCTCATGGTCTGAGATCAGGCCAGGCCAAAATACCAAGATTTTCCAAGGAGCCCTGTGGTGAGAAGGCCAGATGCCAGGAAGCTGGAGGTAAGGCTGCCCACAGAAGACAGGCGGGCAGGACGGGCAGGACGTGGTAACGAGCTGCAAATATTTGCTGCAGAGAATCCCAGGGCTGGGGATGGGCAAAAGGAGGGGCCCACAGAGTGTCTCAGGCTTCTGGGTCACAGTATCAATGATGGGAGTGTCCTCAGCTTGCTGTGCGACCTTGGCTTGGTCTAGGTACCAGTGAGGAAAATTCTAGCCTGGAGTCCGCCCGGGGACCCCTGTGTCTGGTGCCCAGTCTTGAAGCCATGCAGAAGTCGGAGATAGAAGGGCCCTCCGTGTCTAATCCTGGGCCCTGTGTTGTCTGAAGGAGAAACTGAGGTGTAGAGAGGGACTGTGCCTGCCCAGTCCCACAAGGCAGGCCCAGAACCCAGGTCTCCCGATTCCCAGTCTGGTTTGGTGATGACTCTAAGCACATTCCCTCCTGTTCTTCTAAGACTTGTGCTCAGATTCTTTGGGGGAACCTTCTGGGGGTCATTTGGTACAGCCCCTGTGGCTGGACTTAATCCTTACTCTCTAGGAGATAGTGTTCAGAATGCCTTCCTGGCCTAAATCCACTCCAGACAGTGCTGGAGAACTTCCTTGAGGCTACCCCTGCCCTCTCTAGCTGCAGTCAGGCTGCTTGGGGATGTGTTTGAGCAGTTGCTGGTGAGGAGAGGGGTGTCTGCCTAGCTCAGGCTGACACATGCCCACCCGATGGCATCACTCAGCTTGGTGAGGTCATCCGCTCTCTGGGAAATTTGCTCCCGGGGCCTCCCATGGGGTCCCACTCAAGTCTTCTCCCAGGCTCAGCAAGGGGCCCTGCCACTTCTAGAAGGCAACTCTTCCCCTGGGTCATCAATCTCAGGGTGGGGCACCTCTTCCAGCCATCCAGTTCTAGATGACAGGGTTTCTGGTCACTGCTCCCCAGCTGTGGGCTGCAGAGAGAATCCTTGCTGGTTTCCTGGGGGGGAATGTCTGATCAGCCACTGGGATGATGCCACCAGCTCCCCTTGGGGGACTTGAGGGGAAAAGCATCATCCCCCCTCAAGTGAGGAAATCAGGTGAGTCTCAACACGCCCCAGAGCCTCTGCTTCTGGCCTCCTGGCTCTTCCTCAGGCCCTGCCTCATCCCTGAAACATCCTCTCCCTTCCTGGGGAAGGGCGCACTGAAGGTGCTTGCCCTGATGGTCAGGCGAGAGGGGACAAGCAGTTACCGAGCTCCTGCTCGTGCTTGGTGTGAAGGCCTTCTCTGGTAGTCCTTGCAGCCACTCTATGTGGTATGGGTGTCACCACTCCCAATGACCAGCTGAGACCCCAAATTTCCAAGCCACTAAGCGGGGAACCAGGACTTGAATTAAGTCTCTCCAAATCCTTACAGAATCAGAAGCTGTCTCCATTCGTGCACAGGGAAAGACCATTATTGCTGTTTCTTAAAATGATTGGAACTAGTGAGAATAAATATATATTTCAGCTAGCACCTAGTAGGGGCTCAAGAAGTATTTGTTGAAGGAAGGAGTGAGTGAATGAACTAGCTCTCAGGGATGGGGGGCTGGATGAGAGGACCTGCCCTTAATGGTGTTCAGTCCCCACTCAGGGAGGGGGCTGCCCCTTGGGACCCTGAGAGCAGAACCACCTTTGTCCCTCACATCTGGCTGGGGTGTCATTTCCTCTCTCTCGCCCTCCAGCATTGAGGGGTAAGCAAAGCAAGTCCGAGAACCAGGATTTGAGTGGGGACTGAATTAACAGTGGGGTTTCCCCTCTGTGGGCTCCCGTATCTTGCCCTCTCATGTGGCTCTCCTACCTCGGTGCCCTCACTCAGCTGGGAATATACCCCTGGGGGCCCCTCCTCTCCCATAGTCTCGACCTACTCCAGGAAGCCTCTTTGTTCCCAAGCCTGGACTGGGCTTTGCTCTCTGCTCCCCAGCCTTGTGAATTGTTGTCACAAAAGTTCCATGTTGTCATTGACTAGTTATGTGGTTGTTTGCCCATCAGACTGGGAGTTCCCTGAGGGCAGGCCTTGACTGATTCCTCCCTGAGTCTGCAGCTCCCGTGACACAGCCAGGAAGGAAGGTTGTTGAATGAGTGAATAAATGAATGAATGAACGAAAGAATGAATGGATAAAAGAAACAGGCAGCGAAAGTCTCCCCAGTTGGCAAGCCTTGGGCCTCAGTTCTACCACCAGCTGCCGGGTGATGTGGGGCAGAGCCCTGTTCCACTCCGGTTTCAAATCTCCCATCTGTCCACTGGGGTGATGGGACCCTCCAGCCACCCCTCAGGAACTGGGAGTGAGGGCAGGGCTGCGTGCACAGGTGCATGCTCAGCATGAAGCTGCCCCCTACTCCCTGCCCCCTCCTCGTCCCCTCAGCCCTGAGCTCCACGAGGCAGGGTGCGGGAAGGACCCATCAAGTTGCTTTAGCCCCATGCTGCTTCACCTCGCCTCATCTCAGAAATGCTCCACCCTGAACAAGCCTGCTTGGTCAGCGGACCCATTGACAGCAGCCAGGGCTTGCTGGGGACAGGTCCTGAAATCCACTCCCAGGATCGGATAGTGTCTGCAATGCTCTGCAGGTCACCAGGCCTGTGCCCCTCCCTGCAACCTGGGGGCCAGCCTCTCTGTGAGGAAGGTGGGACCTGCAGAGGGAGGGGCCAGACTGGCCCTTAGCACTGAGTGACCAGTGGCCCAGCTGGGAATCTGAAATCAAGTCTTAAACTCCAAACTGGTTTACTTCAATACCCAGATCTGCCTGAAGGTGTGAATTTGGGCAAGTGAGTGATTTCTTCTGGGGCCCATTTCTTTATCTGTTTCAGGAAGATAACTGTTGCCCAGTATTCCTGAAGTTGCCTGTAGAAATGGAGAAGCTGCTTGTGGAAAAAAAACTCTAGACCGGGAGCCAGGCCTGGCTCTTCCTCTCTCTGGGCCTCAGCAACTTGTCTGTACCTGGGTACCGGCTGAGAGCCAGCAGGTGAGATAAGTATATGTTTTAGCGGAAAGACAGGTGAGCCAGAGCTGGGCCCTGCCATTCCCAGGATCATGGGTTAGACAGGATAAACAACAAAGCAAAACAAACAAAACACCCAACTCACCAGCCATCTAGAAGTATTTGTCAAGTGCTTTACCTGAGCCCTGTATACACTGCAGGTAGTTCTCACAACTCTGTGAGGAGGTACGATTTATTAGCCCATTTTAAAGATGAAGAAACTGAGGCTTGGAGAGCTGCAGTGACTTGCACAGCGGTATCCAGTGAATAAATGGTGGGCAGTAGGAACCCGGACGGGAGGAAGAGAATTCAGAATGGAGAGTAGGAGTGGGAGCCAGGAGGGAGTCCCTGACTTGAGCCACTGCCACTTTCCTGGAGCCCTGGCAGCCCTCTGGGAGGGTGGAGAGGAAGCCCCACAAGGCCAGGCCTGGCCAGGCCATCTTGAGTCCATGCCTGGAGGTGTGTTGAGGTGGGACAGGTTAAAGCTGCCTCAGCCACAGAGCCCTAGATGAATCTTGTCTGAACTTTCTTCTGCTTCTGCTGAGCCCTGGGTGTTGGGGGAAGAGACTAAGGGGGAGTAGACCCCCTCCCCCCCACCAGCAGGGCCATTAGCTACAGAACAAGGAAAGTTCCATCCTGGGTAAGGAGGCTGGGGGCCTGATTTCCCACGTCCCAGCCCTGGGTGGAGATTCTCCTTCTAGGGCTAGATGTAGGAGGCAGGGATTTATTATCAAGAAACCTCTTCTTACCAGAGGCTGGAACTTGTCAGGACGACCTGAGTGTTGTCCTAACTTGGCAGCTCTGGGGCTGTGCCCACATGCTGCTTTATCTTGCATGTACTTAACGTGTGCTGAGCCCTACGTGGAGGTTTGTAATCAGTGGTCTCATCCAATCCACACAAGGGCCCAGTGGGAGAGAGATTATCACTGCCATTGCTCTGATGGAGAGATTGACGTACAGAGACGTGAAGGGATTTACTCAGATGACCTAACTCCCAGCCCAAGATTCTCTCTTTTACTAGTTACTGCTCCAAAACACAACTCCCATCTCGTATAATCCCTGAATTAGGGAGCAAATATCAGTGGGCAGGAACCTTTGGTTTGACTTTGTTTTTGCTGGGGAGAGATTTTGGTTGGACCTGCCAACCATTATTTTCCCCATCTGTTAAATCAGTATTAATACTAGGAGTAGCACTAATAAACTCTGCTTTCTGGATGCTGTATGGCTCAGGGGTTAGCGCAGGCCCAGGGCCCGGAGCACAGGGGGGCCCTACAAAGGTTGGTTGGTATTTCAGGGTGGTTAAGGGAAGGAGCAGGCAGATCCGTAAATCCTCAGCTACCCCACCCCCTTTAGGGCCTGTGTCCCTTGCCTCTTCCTGAGAGGTTCCTTTGCAGGGCTTGGGCCCCCTGTGAGTGTGTGGTGTGCGCACTTGCATTCATGCATGAGTATGCTGCTTCTGCCCTCAGACCAGGGTCCCCAGGGGCCCCCAAGGCCATGTCTCTCCTTTAGATTGGGGCTCACTCTGTTCATGGTGCCTGATTGCTTAATGAGCTTGGCATCAGGGTATGAATAATTGCACCATAAATTATGTAAATCTAATCATAACAACACTGAACTGGGCAACTCGCATTCTCTCAGCTCTCGGGGTGCCCTGCTCCTGGGATAAAACTTTCGTGGGAACTGCACCACCCAGCTCCCTCCTACTTTTCTGAAATTATAACTATGATGCGTACCTTGGCCTCAGCAATTACAGTAGCACAAAGGGCTCCCTGCCCCTATCCCATCGGAATCTCACAACTCGAATGGGAGAACATTGATGGAGCGCGCACAGTTTGTCAGGCAGAGTTCTAATCATTTTACATATGTTAACTCATTTAATCCCCCTAATAACCCAATGAGATAAGCATTATTGGATTTCACAGATGAGGAAGTTGAGCCTCAGAGGGGTTTAATAACTTGCCTGAGGTCACACAGCTGCTAAAGTGAGAAGTCAGGAAATTTGGTAGGATGGGAAACTAAGGCACAGAAGGGAGAGAAAGACTTGTCCAAGCTCTTGTAGTCATTGGGGGTTCACCCAGGTCTCCTGGGACCTCTTCAGCCATCTTTGGGATCTGCAAGGCCCGAGTGTCACCCCAGTGTGTGCCTGTGTGGCTGACTGTGTGTGTGTTGGAGGTGTGGACCGGGGCCTCGTCCTGGGAAAGTCAGGGGACGCAGCCAAAGCAAAGAGCTATTTTAAGGCCTCCCCTGCTCGCCCTGCTCCCCACACAGCCCCTCTGCTGAGCCAGGCTGCAGTGGCCCGGAGCCTGGGCCAAGCATGGAGAGTTTTGTTCCGAGAACAGAGGGAAGTCTTGGCTCCAGAACATTCACACTCGATGAATTACTTCAATGCTAGATTATACTTGCAGGCTTGGAACAAAGTGATAATAGGGCCCAATTAAATTAATTTATATGGACTCTATGCTCTGGGCCCCTCCCTCGGTGGAGGGGCAGGCCTGAGGCACTGCACCTCCTCCCCTGGGCCCAGCCCACGCTGGTAGATCTGGAAGGCAGCGGGCAGATGGGTGTGAGGGCTGCTCCTTCCTTGGTGGGAAAGCAGTGCTGGAGCTGCAGAGGGAGAGGCCAGGATTGTGGTTTTGTTTTTGTTTTCAGTCTTATGTGCAGGTCGGGAGAAAATGACCCTCATTAAACAAAGACTTCAGGAAGCGAATTCCTGGTTAGAGAAGGTAAGGACTGGCAGGTCTGGCTAAGGCCCGATTCCCAGGGTCTAAGGGGGAAACCTTGAAGGGGTCACTTGGAGAGATCCTCACCCATGGCCAGGCCTCTGTCCTCACTACACCAGGCAAGGGGACATGTGGCTCTCTGTGGTAAGTGGGTGGGTGCAAGAGAGGGTTGGGCACCTGGGCCTCAGTCTGGGCTCTGTAGGCAACTTGCTGTGTGAAGGTCAAGCATATTTGAACCCCTTTGGGCTCAGGATGAAGCCCACCTCCTTAACAGGCTCACAGAGCCCTCCAGATCCAGCCCCTGACCCTCATCCTTCCACCCCACCAGACACTGTAGATGCCCTGAATCCACCTGTGGTTCTCTGGCTGGTGAGCTTTCCCAACACCCCCTGGGCCTTTGTACTTGTGGTTTCCTGGTCCAGGATGTCTTTTCCCCCCACTTTCCCTAGACAGCACCTGATCCTTTCCCAACACCCTGGATGTGGTGATCTGTCTCTCCGGGAAATGGAAGGCAGGGGCAGATCTGATCACCCCCGTGGCCCCAGGGCCAGGAAAGGCCTGGCACAGAGGTAGCATCGAGGAAGGTTAGATAGTCTTGACTCTCTCCTGCAGCGCTAACACTATGACTCTTGTCATGGTTCTAGTCCAGGCACAAGGAGATCACTGAGCTGCACGGGCCACATGGGGTGAAGAACCAAGTGCCTCATTCATGACTCAGCTTAGCCACTGGCCTGAGACAAGTTACTTCCTGCCCCTTTTGGTTTCCCATTCTGCAAAAAGTGGGACTCAGTGTCCTGTATCTGGTGATCGGGGATTGCAGCAGTTTCTGGTGTAGGTCTTACTGCACCAAGTAGAGGCCAGTGCGGATGCTTTGCAGCTGAGCGTGGCAGAGGTGGGTCCTTGGGGCTGAGTCCCAGCCCACAGGCAGCATGAGGGATTTCCCAGGACCTGGGCCTACTTCCTGTCTTCTCCTGCGGAGGCAGGGCTCCCTCCACAGATGTTTCTCAAATTGCTCAGTGCGTTTGGTCCCTGGCACCGCTTCTGCCAGGGACACTCCACTTTGGGGTCCTGGCTGCCATCTGCAAGACTGGGAGCTTTGGCCAGGCCTGCAGGGCTCTGAGCCCCAGAGAGCCCACCAAAGAGCCCGGGGGTAAGGAGTCAACTTCCCCTCTCCTCCAGCCCAACCCTCTGTTTTTTGAATCCAGATAAAAGAGCTTGAATGTCACCTAAGAAATGTGGGAGTCCATGCCAGGCAGGAAATGGCTTGGTCAGATGGGGGCTCAGGCGATAAGCCTGCTTTACAACTCCTCCACATGGGGTCCCTGGGGCCAACCCCACCCCCCAGGCCCAGCATGGACAAAGCTCTTTATCTCCCTCAGGCTTTCCAACAAGTCATTGACTCTGTAGGGCCATGGGGCCAACCACGGAAAAACTCGCCCTCCCCACCCCACTCCCGTCCGAAAACGCTGGGCCTTTTGGGGGTTGTGAATTTGCGGGGGAAGCTGAGGGTCGGCGCCTGCCGCAGGCAGCCTCTGAACCTCGGCTCCACACTCAGCACCCATGGCGGGGGTCTTTCCTCCAGCCAGCGGGAGCAGGCCCTTGGCCTGGAAAATGAAAGGCATCTGTGGGGAGGCCAGAGCCTGAGTAACTCCCCTGACCCTCGGCTCACCCAGGCCTGGCTAGCTGAGCTGCGGGCTGGGCTGATGTGTGGGGATGCCTGGGGCCAGCTCCGGCCCTCTGCCTCTACAGGCCTCCTCTCCACGTTTCTCTGGTCAGGACAGCCAATGGACGGGGACTCAGAGCCTGGAATCCCACCTTCCCCACTCTGCCTTCTCCGGGCCTCAGGTTCCTTTTCTGTACCAATAGGAGGTTAGATCAGAAAGGTCATCTGTATTATTATTAGGGATCTCGCGTTCCATTGCATTGCACATTCCTTTCTGACTCCCTCCTCTGCCGATGCTGGGGTCTAGAGAGATGCCAGGGGCCTGTTAGTGTATCGAGGGGAGGCGGGGGGCCAGGGAATGGGGCTGAGGGAGCCCAGAACTAGCTGGCTCAGCTGGAGGCAGGAGGCAAGGAAGACTTTTTACAGCGGATGAAGAGTTTTGTTGAGGACTGGAATTATTATTATTTTTTCAATATTATTGTTATTTTTAAAAATAAATTTATGTATTTATTTATTTCTGGCTGCGTTGGGTCTTCGTTGCTGCGCGTGGGCTTTCTCTAGTTGTGGTGAGCAGGGGCTACTCTTCATTGTGGTGTGTAGGC